ATTAGTTCGTCCAATCAGTATTTGAATCTATGAATTTTTTTACGTGGGTTGGAATAGTAACTTCTGATACTGGTGCGCAGTTAGTTCAGCCGCGTGGTAAGCAGGAATCTGGACTTATATTTATATAATTACATTGGTCATGTCCATGCCTAAACTAATAGCTTCCTTTTAATATGAATATATTCAGTTTAATCACAAGTAATTTCCTGACTACTAATCATACGTGGCAGGTAAGTATAAATTTGGAGTACACGAACTTCCCTTATTTTTCGCACCTCATTGGCAGCGTACATGGAGGATTAAAGAATAAAAGTATTTTTTTAAACCTGTGTTAATGCATGCAGTGTAAGTACATATATATCGCAATGAAATAACGAGATGGAGACAAAAAATATGTAGTTTTTTTTATGGGAACAACTGAGCGACAAGTACGGAATTAGTTTGCAAGGTTTCGTTCTGAAGAAAAGTCGTTGGAAGATGAACCCGGACTTTGATGATGAAGTTCGAAAGTATTTTGTAAGAAATTGTTGTGACCAAGTAATGGTTATGAAATAGCAAAACAAGAGGTTGCAGATAAATAGTATATTGAACAGTAAATACAAAAGAAGTGTGTTACACGACTTGGGAGTGTGTGTCGGTTGACCCGCGTTCAGTCTATATCACCGTTAATATTTAACAGCCCCCCCCCGATGGATATATGTGGAACAAGAGCGACTTTAACATGAGTCATCCGAGCCCGTAGGCTGGGCCAAAAACTCCTCGCAGAAACCGCATAAAAGGGTTAGGGTCTGTCTACCTCCCCGGATGGAACTATGCTCTTCGCCATAGCCTTGTCCGGGTTCCTCTCTGCCAAAAGCAGAGATTTCGACAGGAGCTGCGAACAGTCACAGCCTCAGTAGAACAGTCTATATGATTGTTTGCCCGAGGCTTACTTTCCTATTACTTTATAGTAAGTGGAAGAGTCCACAATAACCTCATTAGAGAGAAGACACCACAACAGAAATGATCCACAGTTAATACTCGAGAATTAGCGCAGATGTTAAACACATCATAATCTACCATATATTGGACGCTGGCCAATAGAATTTTCCTGCCTATTCGTGGCAGCCAGCTATAGGCTCTCACTCTGGCCAGTAGAAAATGGCCGCAAACTACATGAAAACTGCCGTAGAAGCATGAAAATGTCGATTATTTCCACTATCGATGGCAGTTGGGAAATGAAAAGTCGGTCTTGGCCTTTCGACTAACTTGGAGCATGTGCATGTAAATGTTGGTGCAAATCCGTCGAAAATTGCGACCGTGCATTCGTTACACACACACTTATTTATATATATATATATATATATATATATATATATATATATATATATATATATATGTGTGTGTGTGTGTGTGTGTGTGTGTGTAGAGAGTGACTATTACTGCTAATAATGCAAGTCCCTTCAGTAAAGCGAATCGAGTTCTCACAGTCACTGTGTTTATCTTCAAATAAATATGCTTAAATTCAACTTCATCCCTGTCATGCGCCAACGGCTTAGGAGTAGAATCCTGTCGCCAATTTCGATCCTAGCTAGAGGCAACCGGACGTCTATCCATAGTGATGAGCTGTGATGCAGTGAAACAGTCATCTGTGGATGACAATATATATATATATGTATGTATGTATAATATTTAATATCTAAAAATACACTAAACTAATTGAGTTTCTTTCTTCCGGCTTTTCAGATAAGACATTTAGCCATCTTGACACCATTTGTCGTAAGAATCACTGAAAAATCCTTTGAGTTATTCAGCTAAAAAGAGATCAGGTTAAAAACTCACTGTCTTTCCAACTGGGCAATGGCTAGAGGAAAAAAATCATTCAGGCCTTCAGTAGTGGCACCAACATTCATACCCTGGCTTCCATCTTCAATGTCCATTAAAGAACCACCAAGACAACGATGAATAAGTTTAAAAAAGAGAGAACAGTAGAGAGGAAAAGTGGATCAGGGAGGTCACGACAGGAGGATATTCAGTCACCCCCCCACGAGGGTGTCATGTGGCACAAGGCCTTTTTAACGTGGGCATTCCCGAGCCATTAGGCTCGGCCAAAAAATAGCCCATTTGAACCCGCATAAACGGGTTCAGGGCCGGTTTAACCTCCCCAAAGGAGACTCCGCCCTTCGTCGTAGCCTCCTTCGGGTTCCTCCCAAAAAAGGAAGAGAGTTTAACCGAACAGTCGGTTCAGAGTTGAACGACTGAGGTCACGACAGGAGGGGGGGCATCATTTCAATTTAGTGCTAAAGAGATCAATTAGAAACGATCCAACAACTCATAAGGCATTTGACACGTGAGAGAGGAGTTTCAGCTATGACAGTTCAAAGAGCAGTAAAAAAAAGGCGTGAAAATGAAATCGTACATGAAACCTGTGAGGCACCTTGATACTCCAGGACAAGAAATTAGAAAGTTAGAGAGGGTGAATGTTATATTGAATAAGCTAAAAATGACCTGGAATATATATATATATATATATATATATATATATATATATATATATATATATATATATATATATATAGCTTTATTTAAGTTCTTCATGAGCTTCCAATCCTTGGCTATGATTAATTAATGATAAACATATAATTTTCGTTTATGATTGATTTTATCACAATACTTCTGTTAAGATTAGAGAGTAATTATACATTCTTATTGCTCAGAGTAGCGTCCAATAGTGTTATAAAAGTCTCGAAAAATTCCAGTAAGATAGCTTTAATCATTTCTAAGATACAACGTTTCAGAGCTTAATCTAGCAACTGGGCAGTTTTGCTGTTACACGATTTAGACAATTTTGCTCTGACATACAGTATATAAAATAAACCTTGTCTGCGTCGTAAAACTTCTCCCATGGCATTAAACCCACCAGTTCTACAAAAATCACCATTTGTCTCTACCTAATCTGATGATAACTTAAGAAAATTGATAGCTTCTTCCGAAATGAACTTTGGACAATTTTTTATGGAATTTCTTTCTTTATCGGGGAAGGATTATTCGTAAGTTGGATAAAAGTAATCGACATAGAATATCTGTTTTCTATAATAGAATTTGACTTGTTGCCTAAATATACAATATATATATATGGTTTCTTTATAATTTCTAAGTATGCCTGTCTGTTAGGGTGGCTGTTGTAGGCACTTGCTCAGGCATATCTATGTCTATTCTATATCCATCAAGCCAACCTTACGTTTATGTTTACAGTTGCCAACAAATTAATACAAAGGTCGTAAAGTAAAAATATATAAATCATAATTTATATTTTAATTCTTGTAGATACAGAATATAATTGAAAATGACATTTCTTTTTACCTTAGTAAATGATTTCCTAATTTTTGCAATTATTCTGGCTTTTATCGGCCGAGAACAACTTGGTTTTATTTGTATTACTGTTTTATTTTTTTCTGCAAATTCCATACACTTATCTTTCAAGTTAAAGTATAAAACAAATTCATAGGTAGCATCTGTTTCTATCATTTCGACATTTAAATGGCATTACACTAAAATCCTCTCCCGGTTGGCTGATATACTAGGAATAAAAAAAGAACACAAATGAAACGATTTTGCAAATACTTACACATTTTAAAACACTGCTTTTAAAAATTAAAAGCCATCTCGTAAAATTGTTGTACAAGAATGTTAAAAATAAAGGTTAATTTTATTTTGTTTTTTATCATTTCACCCCAAGCAAGGCAGTAAAACACTATAGTACATGAGGGTTACTGAGTGGGAAAAAAATAAGAAAAAGAAAAAATTATTAAGTAGCAAGACCAATAAAAGGAGACGACAGAAATCACCGATTGACATTGGATTTAAATTTTGGAAGATCAAAGATGTCTGGAAAGCTTCAAGTCAACAGAAGACACCGATTGACATTTGATTCAAATTTTGGAAGATCAAAGATGTCTGGAAAGCTTCAAGTCAACAGAAGACACCGATTGACATTTGATTTAAATTTTGAAGATCAAAGATGTCTGGAAAGCTTTCAACAGAAGAAATTGACATTTGATTTAAATTTTGGAAGATCAAAGATGTCTGGAAAGCTTCAAGTCAACAGAAGACACCGATTGACATTTGATTTAAATTTTGGAAGATCAAAGATGTCTGGAAAGCTTCAAGACTACAGAAGACACCGATTGACATTGGATTTAAATTTTGGAAGATCAAAGATGTCTGGAAAGCTTTAAGACTACAGAAGACACCGATTGACATTGGATTTAAATTTTGGAAGATCAAAGATGTCTGGATAGCATAGAGCGTCCAACAAACGAGACGTCTGAGAGAAGAAACTGTAAGCATAGAACTTACAGTTACATCTAGCCAATTCAACAGTAAATTGATGAATGTGTGTTGCCAATTATTACTGTGTGTAAATTCATAAAACTTAGGTAACATAAATGGCAGTTTATCCGAACAATTACCATGAACATATTTATAGAAAAGGCACAGGGAACATACATTACTGCGGTTGGTGAGTAACTGTAGATGTCAGATCAGGACCAATAATATTGCGGATTTTTCTTTGGATTTTATGAAGGATCTCTAAATATATAATAGGAGCCCCGGACCATATGTAGCAGCAATATTCAAAGCATAGTGAAATGGCAGACTTATAAATATGTAAGATAGATTTTAGAGAGGAAAATTGTCTAGCATAGCAGTGTGAACCAACTTTCTTAGGAGCAGGCTTAGCAATGAATTCAATATAATCTTTCCACTTCATGTCAGCAGAGAATGTTAGCCCGAGAAGGCGGAACGTGTCATTCTGATGTCGGTTAGCATCAGCCATACTGATGAAGGGCAGAAAGGGGTATCTTAGATGATTAATAGAGAGCAGTTTCATTTTGGAGGCGTTAAAATTGACAAGTCATTCCTTGCCCCAGTTAACAGAAGATTGCCATCCGTTATGATAGATTATATTGTGGTAAGGTGTATGTTTATGATGAAGGTCATATGACGTCCTATCCAAGTTCACCAAAGGAAAAGAAAAGAAGGACCTGACACGCCTGTACTCTCACTGAGACATCTTGCGTTGAACGTCTTTTGGGAAGCAAGCTCTATCTATCTAACTTTTGTTCGGATGTATCTATCTATCTATCTATCTATTGTTCGGATCTATCTATCTATCTATCTATCTATCTATCTATCTATCTATCTTTTGTTCGGATCTATCTATCTATCTATCTTTTGTTCGGATCTATCTATCTATCTATCTATCTATCTTTTGTTCGGATCTATCTATCTTTTGTTCGGATCTATCTATCTATCTATCTATCTATCTATCTTTTGTTCGGATCTATCTATCTATCTATCTATCTTTTCTTCGGATCTATCTATCTATGTTCTTTATTTTGTTCGGATCTATCTATCTATCTATCTATCTTTTGTTCGGATCTATCTATCTATGTTCTTTATTTTGTTCGGATCTATCTATGTATCTATCTATGTTATTTTGTTCGGATCTATCTATATATCCATCTTCTTTATTTTGTTCGGATCTATCTATGTATCTATCTATGTTATTTTGTTCGGATCTATCTATATATCCATCTTCTTTATTTTATTCAGATCTATCTATCTATCTATTAATACTGTCAACAGTATTGTATGGTCCGGTGAGTGATCTTATCTTTGATTAGATCAGTGAGCCAATGAGTGTAGATAGAAATTTGGTTTTGCTAGACAGCTTCCTGTTTGCATCGATCAATAATATTTGCTGGCCTCTACCAATATACAGACACAGCCTCTACTTACTCTCTATTCAATGTAGCATACGTGAATGAATCTTTCCATAATCTACGTTCGACAAGTTTCCTGAGTCTCCACATACACAGAGTGAAAGAAATCGAGATCGTTAAAGACATTAAAGAAAGAGAATTTGATTAACTGTTAAAGTATATCACCCATTCATTAAGCCTGTTTAGGGGTTGAGAGAGTTGTGTGCTTAGCTTTGTTTCTGGAGTCGAAGATCGAACACATATGATTGATTGATTGATTGATTAATTAGTTTTCGACGGCTTATCAAACCTTCTCAGGTTATTTAAAGCCAGAAAAATATCTTTTTAGATTGTAAGAATCTTCTGGACGTGATGATTCAGTAATACAAGTCTTAATAATTAACCCATAGTGAGTGGGGGATCAGAGGTAGATTCACATCCTTCCGAAGGGTATTTGCGCATAAATGAAGTTAATGAACTCAACTGGAACTTGAACTCGGCTCTCCGATTTCCAATTCCGTGCCGTTGTCCTTCACACCACCCGCACATCCAAACTTACAGCTACTACTATTCCAAAGCGGTCACCCATCTAAGTACTAGCAAGGCTTGACTTTACTTAACTTTGGTAATCGTACGAACAAGTGTTTCAATGTGATGTGATCGTAAGCCCCGAACTGGCACTGGTATATAACCATTATCCCCACAAAGCTAAGCAAACATCTGTCATATATCGTTGCATGATAGATTTTTACAAAATGGCATCTTTTCGTGATATCACCTTTTTCAATTTAAGATATGCATATAATGAGTTTCTATTCGTACTATGCCAAAAAAAAAAAAAAAAAAAAAAAAAAAAACAAAAACAAAACAAAAAACCCAAAAAACAAAAACAAATTTATTTACTTATAGATTTGTCCCAAACTAACAATAGAGATCGACTTAAATGATTTGAAAATAAGAATTTAAATTTCACGTTTTTTTATCTGGCCTGGAACCTCGACCGACCTGCATATATATATATATATATATATATATATATATATATATATATATATATATATATATATATTGTATGAGGCATGTTCGTCAAACAATACATGTTTTTCATGATGCCAAATGTTTTTAGAGTTGTATAATGAGAATCTAGTAAAATTATGTCTAATAGTATACTGTTATATTTTTAGGTAACTATCACTTTCTTTATCTGTTTATCTATCTACCCTTTTCTTTACTTACCTACCTACCTATTTATCTATCTCCTTTTTTTATCTAGCTATCCTTTTCTATCTCTTTCTTTTTTATCTATTTCTTTTTTATCTATTTCTTTTTTTATCTGTCTTTTTTTATCTATTTCTTTTTTATCTATCTATATATATATATATTTCTTTTTTATCTATCTATATATATATATATTTCTTTTTTATCTATCTATATATCTATCTATCTATATATCTATATACTTCTTTTTATCTATCTGTCATGGGTCCTTACCTATAACTACAGAATGAACTCTTCCTAACACTATGTATACTACGCCTCTCAAGAGAGAGGGTCGAATTGAGTCGAGCTTCTCGGCTTGACGGTCGAACTCTCTGCCTTTGAGCAGAGAGGAACTTGGACGAGGCTCCGCCGAAGGGCAGAGTCTAGTTCGGGGATGTTGACTAACCCGATCCCGTTTATATGGGTTCTACGGCCATTTTTTTGGCCGAGCCTACGGGCTCGGGAAACCCACGTTAAACTCGGCCTTGTGCCACATGCAACCCTCGTGAGGGTGGGGGCTAGATACCGAATCGAGTCGAGCCGATAGTAGTTCACTCCAAACCAGACTGACAGTCATACTAACACCTTCCACATCTTGTATTATTTCGTGTAATATACCTTCGTTATTTCTACTCTTGTGTTCGTGTTGTTCTTCCTTGGTCCTAACCTGGACCATAACACTATCTATATACTTCTTTTTTTATCTATCTCTTTTTTATCTATCTATTTTTTATCTATCTATATACTTCTTTTTTATCTATCTACTTTTTTTTATCTATCTATTTCTTTTTTCTATCTATATATATATATATATATATATATATATATATATATATATATATATATATATATATATATATATTTCTTTTCATGTATCTCTTTCTAACAGGAGCGAGAACAAAGGAAGAGTAATCAGGAGGACAGTAGATAGCGATTGACAATGCATTTGACTTTTTTCAGATTAAAGTTGGCTGGAAAGCATGGCGCTGGAAGGAAGTTCCATAAGCGAGAAAAGAAACTGTTAACATAGAATTTACAGTTAAATCTAGCCAGCTCAACTGTAAATTGGTGTACAGTGTCTAAATTCGAAGAGTCTTTGTACCATGTTGCATAGCAGTATTTATAGAAAAGGCACAGATAAGCTACCTTACGGCGGTGGGAAAAGGACTGAAGCCGAGAAGCCAGGTAAGTGCCAATAATATTGCTGATTCTTTTTTGGATTTTATGAAGGTGCATAATATGTGGCAGCAATATTCTGAGCGTGGATGGATGGTAGATTTATAGATATGTAAGATATACTCTGGAGAGAAAAAGGTGTCATGTTCGACACAGGTAGACCAAACATACTAGCAATTGACCTAGCAACTGATTCAATATAGTCTTTCAAACTTATTTCATCTGAGAATGTTAGTCCGCGAAGGCACAACGATTCAATCTCCTGGAGGATAGCATCAGCCATAGTGAGTCAGTCGTTCACTTTTGAACCGACTGCTCGGTTTGAACTCTCTTCCTACGGACGGGAGGAACCCGAAGGAGGCTACGCCGAAGGGCGGAGTCTCCTTCGGGGAGGTAAAACCGGCCCTGAACCCGTTTATACGGGTTCAATGGGCATATTTTTGGCCGAGCCAACGGGCTCGGACTGTCCACGTTAAAAAGGCCTTGTGCCACATGACACCCTCGTGGGTGGGGGGGGGGTGACTAAATATCGTCAGGAGCCGATCGGGGTATGCTGTTACGTTGACGAGTAGATAGGATGGGATGATAACGGTTATCTATAGATTGAACAAGATTGCAGTGATCGGAGGACTATTTCTATGTGAAACAGACTCCTCTTGGGAGTATGTTCCAAAGAGAAAGCGTTCGTGGGAAGAAGCTGTTTGAGTGGAACTCACTTCTCGCCGATGGCATACAGAGAGAATCTGGGTTACTTGCTACAATGTAAGTAGCATGGCGGGTCATAGCCGTGAAAGTTAGACCAAGGAACGTAGTTCAAGCAAGTATTTTACATGAGCAGCGGTAGAGCAGTAATAGTCTCGTCGTATCCCGATGATCTTTGCTAACAACCATAGTTTGTGTTTTCTTACAGTTAATGTTCATTTATTTTTCCCGCTTTCCTTTACTGCCTTGTTTAGCAGGTAATGTAGTTTTTCTTTCTGTGACTCTCATCAACAAAGTGCCATCTACGTATGTTTTATTGCTAAAATTAGGCCTACCAATAATAAATCCTGCCAGGATCCCCAGCTTGTTTACGATAGCCTTTCTATAGAGCTTGAACAAATTCGGCACATTTAATATCACTAATGTTAATAAACAAATGATCGGCAAAGAAATAAATGTAGTCATATTCTTCGGCGTACCCTGCTTTTTCAATGCACATAATTCAATAGAGAATATTTCGTTAGAAACAAAGAAAAGAGTACTGAACTGTTACGTAATATCAATCCTTGTATATTGCAGTGAATGATGGACAATCACTATATAGATGAAGAAGAGAATTAAAGCAACAGAAATGTGGTTCTACAGAAGGATACTGGGGATACCATGGACCGAACATGTGAACAACGACGATGTTTTAGAGAAAATGGAAACAAAAGGGGAACTTTTACTTAACATCAGGAAGACATAGTTGGAATTTGGGGGGGGGCACATAATGTGGAAAGATGGCTTGAAAATCTGATGCAGGATAGCTTGAAGGCAAGAGAGAACAGAGGAAAACGACACATAACATACATAGCCATTAATGGCGGAACAGGGTTTGTGAGAAATAATAAAAAGACAAAATATATTAAGCGCTTCAAGGGATGAGAAATTGTAGAGAGTCAGAATCGCTTAAGTCCTGAAGGGACACGGCGCATTAAGGAGGTCGAGCAGTTAAAAAAGGTCTGCTAAATATGCAGTTAATAACTATGTGTCAGAATTATTGATCATTCTTAGTACAATGATAATACTGAAAAAGGTCAGGTAAAGCATCAGTCGAAGCATCGTGATAAAAAAATATGCTTTTTTTTCAACTTATAAAATATAAGTTTTATAACAGTTTTATATTGCTGAATGATTCTATGTGTGATTATTTCTTTGTATATAAATTATATGCTGCCTAATGTTTTCTGTTTATAAAAAACTATCGATCCGCAGTACAAAAAATTCCTATAAAAAAACTACTACTAAGACATAACATTATATTAATTGAACTATATACTTAGTTCATGACATATTAACTGAATACACTTGTAAAAATAGAATACGTGGATTTACCACATCACAAGAAAAATTCAAATAAAATTCTCACTTAAAATTTTGAAAAACTTAGCGTTGCGTCTTTGCACGTTCCGAGATTGTACACAACCGTCAATAATTGCACATACTAAAAAAAAAACAACAAAAAACAAAAAAAAAACCATCTTTCGGTCGACAAACAATTATTTCGTCTCCAAGTTTTTTATTTTAAAAGGAAAAGATATGCCCGACGATGAATAAAGGATTATTCGAAAGTACTTGCATTTAAAAAAAAAAATAAACTGGAACCAACAGACAATAGTTTTATAGATGAGGATCACATCACTCTATGGATTAACAGTATTTTAATGCATACATTATACACTGCTAGCGATGGATGTCGCCAATAATAGCATTAATATTGCTGATT